GGGGGGGGGGGGAACCGTCACGTCAGTTTCAGTGGGGAAAATGTAATGTTCTAAATTTAGGCAGGAAAAATAAGATACACAAATATAGAATGAGAGAAAGTTGTTTGGTAAGTCATAAACTATACTTAAGTCAATAATGGGATGCAGCAGCAACAAAAAAAGTAAATGTAATACTAGGCTTCATTGAAAGAAGTATAGTGTCCAAATCAAGAGAAACAATACTACCAGTTTGTTCTGCTTTGGCAAGACCTCCCACGGTACACTGGACCCATCTCTGACCACCACAGTTTAAGAATGCCAAGATGATAAAATGGAATGTGTCTAGAGTAGAGATGAGCATGAACCCGCCAGGAGACACTCATTAGGCCCATTAGGAAGAAACCAGGTTTGGCAGTGGACAACATTGGCAATTATAGGCCCATCGCCAATGTTTCTTTCCTCAACAAAGTGGTAGAGAGGGTGCTGGTTGACCAGCTCCAGGCCCTTCTGGATAAAATCAGCACCCTGGATCCATTTCAGTCGAGTTTCAGGCCACACCACGGTATGGAAATGGCATTGGTCACCCTATTTGATGACCTGCTGAGGGAGGCCGACAGGGCAAAATGTCTCTGTTGTTCCTTCCCGATATCTCAGCTGCCTTTGATACCATTGGCCACGGTGTCCTCCTGGGGAGGCTCTCCGAGCTGGGAATTGGCGTGGCGCTTGCCTGGCTCCAATCCTTCTTGGAGGACTGTCCCCGGAGAGTACAACTTGGGGAGAGTGTATCAGCTCCATGGAACCTTAGTTGTGGGGCCCCATAAGGCTCAATTATCTCCCCAATGCTGTTTAATGTCTATATGAGGCTGCTGGGTCAGGTCACAGGTATGCTGAAGACACACACCCAGCTCTACATCTCCTTTTCCCCAACAACAGTGGATGCCTTGTTATGGGTTTTTCGGGCTCTTTGGCCGTGTTCTAAAGGTTGTTCTTCCTGACGTTTTGCCAGTTTCTGTGGCCAGCATCTTCAGAGGACTGGAGTAGGAACTCTGTCCATGCTCCATTCCTACTCCAGTTCTCTGAAGATGCCGGCCACAGAGACAAGTGAAACATCCGGAAGAACAACCTTCAGAACATGGCCAAAGAGCCCAAAAAACCCACAACAACCATTAGATCCCGGCCATGAAAGCCTTCGCGAAAACAACAGTGGATGCCATTTCATCCCTTCAGCACTGTCTGGAGGCCGTATTGAAATGGATGCAGGTAAATGGTCTGAGGCTGAACCCGGACAAGACGGACGTCCTGAGAGTGGGTGGCCCTGACATTGGTGGTTTGGGAAACGCCATCTCTTTTGTGGGAGTGACTCTCACCACAAAGGGTGAGGTTCACAGCTTGGGGGTCCATCTAGATCCAGCGCTTACCATGGAAATCCAGGTAGTGTCATTGGTCCACACAGCCTACTTCCATCTCTGGCAGATTGCCCAGCTGCATTCCTATCTTGATGTGGGGGCCCTCACCGCTCTGGTCCATGCGCTTGTAGTCTCGAGATTAGACTACTGCAATGCACTCTAAATGGGGCTACCTTTGAGACTGATGCAGAAGCTTCAAATGGTGCAGAATGTGGCGGCCAGACTTCTTATTGGGGTGAGAAAACATCCACATATCTCCCCTATTCTGGCTGCCCTGCATTGGCTGCCCTTTGTTTCCATGTTGATTTCAAAGTACTAATGATGACATATAAAGCGCTAAACAGCTTAGGACCTCAATATCTAGTGGAATGCCTCCTCCCACATAGATCAACCCAAATCACTCACTTTAGCCAAGATGGGCGGTTGAGGGGCCTAGTGCCGAGGGAGGCCCAAAGAGAAAGAATAAGAAAGTGAGCCTTCTCAGCAGTGGCCCCTCGCCTCAGGACCAATCTCCCTCCAGAAATTTGTCTGGCTCCCTCGCTAGGTGTTTTTAAGAGCAAAATCAAGTACTCTATCCTTGTATTGTGTCTGTTATAGTATGATTTATGTAATTTTTTGCTTTATTTTGTCGTTTATTCTATACTGGAAGCCGCCTAGAGTGGTCTATTAGGCCAGTTAGGCCTAAATAAATAAATAAATAAATAAATAAATAAATAAATAAATAAATAAATAAATAAATAATCAATCAATCAATCAACCAACCAATCAATCAATCAATCAATCAATCAATCAATCAATCAATCAATCAATCAATCAATCAATCAATCAATCAATCAATTTGCATGTTTGTTCATGGTTGCATATTGCTTATAATTAAATGGAGTAACAGTTGCACAGTATGTCACCCTAAGCAGGATTTCTGTGGTGTTAAGTTATTTTTCTGTCAATATTTGATCTTATTTTGAACCTTTTATTTCCTAATGGAGCCTCTTTTTCTCCCTTTTGTGATTAATGGCTGAAACAAATAAGAAAACTAGCTATTCAAGTAGAGGGCGGGGGGCTGGGACTTATACACAGTGGTCTCTGAGAGCAGACATTGATGAGTTTGGGCTTCCTTCCTTCCTTCCTTCCTAGGTCTGGTTCCAGAACAGGCGGGCTAAATTCCGCAGGAATGAGAGAGCCATGCTGGCCAACAAGAATGCATCGCTCCTCAAGTCCTACTCTGGGGATGTGACTGCAGTGGAGCAGCCAATTGTACCTCGACCAGCTCCAAGGCCCACTGACTATCTCTCCTGGGGGGCAACCTCTCCTTACAGGTGACTATTAACAATGTCTCTCCCTTCTTCTACCAACTTTCTTCTCTTGTGCTAGGTGAATAATCTGGTGACATTTAAATAAAGACATGGCTCATCGGGATTCTCCTTTGTCCTTCTAGCTCCACATCTGTTAAAATGAAAACCATTCAGGACTGTTCTGATCTGATCTAATTGATCCTTTGTGGGCAACGCTGCAAATATATGTAGGTACAAACTTAATTTTGCACACTTGCCAAGGACCATAAATAATTTCCATAAAACAGCAGAATTCACTTCTAAATAAACTGTCAAACTGAATGAACTGAATAGTTTCAATGTCAAACTGCTGACACTAGTTGTCAAGTATATCTCTTCAGAGAAGATTAGTTCCATGAGTGGGGAATCTCTGGCAGAATTTATTCCAACTTCATTAAACTACAACTCCCAGGATTTGCGGAAGGAAGCCATGACTCACAAACTTTGAATGCTTTCACATAGAATGCCACTAGCATTATCAGAACAAAGGCATTGTGCAGCTGTTCCATCTTTCCCCCTTGATGGATCTCTTGTAATAAGAAAAAAGGTGGAAGAAACTAGGAAAGCATGGGAAGGTTACAAATGGAAGAAGATGCTGTCTGTGTTGGGAAGGGATTAATTTCTAGCAAACTGGTTCTGTTGAGGCTTTGTAGACTTTTCAGTCACTTCTAGAAAACCAAGCACGTAGAAAAGGCACATGAAAAAAATGGAACTCTGGATGGAAAAGTCAGCAACACTATGTGCTTTTGCTTATAGCCAGAATGAAGCTCTGCTCTATTATGCATAACCTGATTAAAATGGCTATTTCTCATTGGAATAACACATTCTGGGCAAAGAGACTCTTGCTTGAGAAACTATTATAGTTTAACACAGGACGTCAAATTACAGCCTTCAGGTGTTGCTGGATGGCAGCTCCAAGCATTTTACACACCCCTGGTTATGCTGGTTAAGGCATAAGTGTACTCCAAAAATATCTGGAAGGTCACACTTTGCCACCCTTGCATTTCAAGCACATCGAGTCCAGTCCTTCACACATAACTTCCACCTACACCCATCGAGGATGGAAAGAATACTCAGTAAACTTCTCATCTCTGTGAATTTAGGCAGTCTTGATAGAAATGGGTTCTCCAACAAGTAATTTTAAAGTTAAGAATATCAGATTATATTGCCAAACTATATTAGCACATCTCTTTATAACATGGAAGCTTGAGGATCACTGAAAGAATCTGTATGATTCAGTACAATACTGAATCAAAGGGATCCAATTTTAACAAAATACATCTGTGGACGTGACAAAGTGGGCCTTTGTCCTACTGTTTGTTCTGCTCTGGGGATGGGCTGGTTCACCTCTTTTCCCCTGTAACTACACAACACGAGTGCCAACATGAACCAACATGGTCCCAAAGCATTTCTGCCTATACAGTGGTGCCTCGCTTAACGAGCGCACCGTATAACGATGAAATCGCATAGCGATCCGTTTTTTCGGATCGCTAATGCGATCGCTGAACGTTTTTTTAATGGGGAAAAATTCGCTTTGCGAAGACCGGTAAGCGTTTCGCTTACCGATCTTCGCAAAATGAACCCCGACGATCAGCTGTTCGGCGGCCAAAATGGCCGCCGGAAGCCGGGAAATGGCCCAAAATGGCCGCGCGCAGCGTTTTCGCGTCCTCGTTAAGCGAGGCGAGGGCGCGAAAATGGCTCCCGGCCATCCTGAAGCTTCGCTGAACGGTGAGTATTTGGCCTATTTGGAACGCATTAAACGATGTTTAATGCGTTCCAATGGAAATCGCTGCCCCGTTCAGCAATGCTTCAGCATAGCGAAGGTTAATCCGGAACGGATTAACCTCGCTATGCGAGGCACCACTGTACCTTATACAGTCCTTGTTAGGGACTACTCTGTTTAGGTGCAGAATAGGATTGTCCCATTTTGGTTCATTTCCAGCACATGTGACCATAAAGAAATTGAAAATGTTAATGATTTTGTATACCTTGGTTCAATCATCAATCCAAATGGAGGCTGCAGCCAAGAAATCAGAAGAAGACTTGAGACTCTGAAGAGCAGCAATGGAGGAATTAGAAAAGATCATCAAGTGCAAGGGTGTGTCACTGGAGACCCAGGCCAAGATAATCCACATTCTTGTATTTTCAATCACTATGTAGAAGTGTGAAAGTAAGAGAGTGAAGAAAGGTGAGAGGGGAAAACTATTCTTTTGAAATATGATGGTGGAGAAGAGCTTTGTGGATATCCTGAAGTGCTACAAAGATGAGCAAGTGGGTTCTAGAACAAATGGACCTTGAACTATCTCTATTGGCAAAAATGACAAACTTTGAATGTACTATGAGAAGAGAGGATTCTCTGGAAAAGACAATTTTGCTAAGAAATGCTGAAGGCAGCAGGGGAAAAAAAAGGAAGACCAAGTAAGAGATACATTGATTTTATCAAGGAATTCACTGGCTTGAGTTTACAACAGAGCAGGATAGTTGAGGACAGAACTTTCTGGCTATTACGTATTAATAGGTTTGCCATGTGTCAAGGTGAAAGTTCATTGGTTCAGGAAAGTTCAGATTCTCCAGTTTGGATGAACCCAAACCAACCCAAATCAACAAACAAGCAATTTTTGACAAGCTTCCTGGTTCATTTTTATATTCGTGCCCATCTCTAACTGCTACACATTGAAAGATTATTAATTCCTTGTGGTGTGATGATGCATTAGAGTCCAAAATTAAATTCATTAGTCCGAATGTTGAGTTACAATTATCCTTTGTGACGTTATATTCCAATTACACTAATTTTTTTTACCAGAAATTAAATATCCTAGTGCAGTGCCACCAGGAAGTTAAATATGCACCAATTACTTAGTATAGTACTGTATGTCTTTAAAATAAACATTATTTTAATTTTTTCAAAAAAGGAAATTCTTTACCATCTTCACAGCTGAGAAGCTATTTCAGTTCCTGGTCCTTGTCTGTGAAAAACAAAAACAAAATAAAACAAATACTTAAATGCCCACCAGCCATGCTGTCTTGCTTTCACCTGAAATGTAGCCTGTCAGTTCAAAAGTTGGGACATTAAAAATCAATCGATATCAACTCAGTGCTGTCATCACCAAAAGCAAATGAAGCTATTACAGTCAGGACAGTGAGTTCCCTATTAGTCAATTGTACAATACTAGTCAATTAGCGAATAGCTGAAGAATCAAGAAATTGGTTTTCAGTTTTAGTTCTGAAAAAAAAAATGCTAACCTACATGCCATCTTTAATTTTAAATGCCTGTCTTTTATGGAAGAGGTTGTTGTGTACTGTCAAGTTAGAATCAACTTACAGTGACCCTAATAGGCCTTCCAAGGTAAGTGAAATATTTAAGGAGTAGCATTACTAGTTTGACACTCCCAGTGTGTCTCTGTGGCTGAGTAGAGATTTGAACCCAGGCCTCCTGAGTCTTTGTCTGTCACTCTGTCCACTGCTCTACACTGGGTATCTTGATGAAAGTACCCCCTCCAAAGTAGTTCAGCATTACTTCACAACACCAGCACTTTCTTTGTATCTATTAGCTGCTTCTCCAGTTACTTCCACATTACAGTGGTGCCCCGCTTAATGATTACCCATATAACAACAAATCCGCTTCACGACGATGTTTTGTGATCGCTTTTGTTTGAATGGGGTTTTTTCGCTTAATGACGATTGGTTCCCTGCTTCGGGAACCAATTTTTCGCTTTACGAGGATTTTCCAACAGCTGATCATCGGGTTTCAGAATGGCTGCCGCTATGCAAAATGCCCCCCTGCTGTTTTTAGGACTGATTTTTCACTCTACAGGCATCAGAAAATGGCCGCCTTATGGAGGATCTTTGCTGGACGATTAGGTATTTCGCCCATTGGATCGCATTAACCAGTTTTTAATGCGTTTCAATGGGTTTTTTAATTTTATTTGACAACGATTTCGCTCTACAGTGATTTCGCTGGAACGAATTAACGTCATCAAGCGAGGCACCACTGTATAAGCAAAACCCAGGATTCAAGAGTAGTGGATGACTGATGTCATTCTTGTTCCCAGTCTTAATCATCATTGTTTTATTCTCTCACACCACTGGCAACCACCCTTATCTGCCACCCTCAAACATAATCCTTTGAACTTAAGAAAGTTCCTATATTTTAAAAGAATACCAAACAAGAAGGCAAATTGAAAGTTAGGCTTTTGCCAACAAACAAACAAAAAACCCTGCCTGGACGAGCAGTTGCCCCAGGAGACACACACAACAATTCTAAGACCATGTGACTACCGCATTGCTATAAATTACTTTTATTAACTCCAAAGGAGTTATCTGAGATACATCGTTAGTGCAACCAGACTCTAAGGGAGAGTGCTTGTTCCCATTCAAAGAAACAGATCTTAAACCATTGCAACAACAACAGCCCATTCGTAAGAAAATTTATGTTAAAATACAGAACAAAGCATTTAGCATGACTTGTGAGAAGACCAGAGGAAAAGAGGGCAATCAGTTCCATTAGACTGATACAAAATTGCCTATTTTCATTTCAACAATGCTTTCAGTATGCGAAAGATTTGACAAATCATTCTTTCCTTGCAACAGTCTTTTGATGTAGCTCCACAGTGTCTTTTATCTATGTCTCAGTTTCTTTAATTACAGGGACAGAGATCAAAAGTGTTAGGGATGATTTTAAGATTATGAAGAGTGGCCTCTGATTTAAAGTATAAAGTGAGTCAGAATAATGGTCTATGCAAGTCAGAAGCCCCTTAAAATATTCAATAAAAGGCTTAATACAGAACTCGTGAAGACAGAGAGTAGGCAAGTGCTGTCTTTTCCCTCTTAGCTGTCATGGAGGACTAGAGCTGAAGAGGAGAGTGTCCTCTATGTGCAGAGAATCTAGGCACAATCAAGAACTCCCCCCCCCACGGGCTTTCACTTGTACGGAGAAGCCACACAGATGGAGACAGCTCTATTCTTCAGCTTAAACTTATTTTAAACTTGCTTCACGCTAACATTAAAGCTATCCCTGACAAGCTAGATGAAAAGGCTCTTAATTTCAGCTGAGTAGTTTTGTCTGCTTTCTACACAGCCTAGTCTTTCAGTACACCTCAATAAACACAATTAAAATGCTATCAAAATTCTACCATGCTCTGTAGCTACAGCTAGAAGTGTTGGACATAATCACATGTGAATGCCACTTGACTGTCCCACTTCTACCATGATGTAAAGTTACCCCCAATATCATGGTGGATAATTCCTTAGATACAATATACTGCATGTGATGAACTCACTTGGCTTATTATTTCTCCCTCCTCTCATACTTTCTAAAATAGCTCCTCATCCCTCCTAAGATGTTTGGTTGAGAAGGTCCCTTGTGGATTCTAAGAGAAGACTCTACAAAGGTAACTTTCTGGGACGTTGTCCTTAGAGGAGAAGCAACATAGTTGTGTGGCTGTACCACACAAGGCTGGAGGATTAAAGTTGTCCTGCTCAGTCCCCAGGGCACCTTTGCACAGAACCTTTGCCAGGATGTGGATCAGATGATAGGATGTAAGAAAGAGCTGTGGAAGAGAGGGTTGGCTCTGCCTGTCTTTGGTCCATGAGTCTTGCTATACCATCTCCTTCCTTCACCTTCCACTAATTACCACAGCATAATACACCAATATTTGCACCATTTAAAGCATTAGGAGATTTGAGGAAGTATCATAAACAGCCAGTTGCAGGACAGCAACCCTCTGCCATTTGCTCAGGGCTGATAGATATTTCCAGTTCATATCCAACTCTGCATCTTGTACAGATACTCAACAGATATCAGCCCACAGAGAGTTTAAGAAATGTCTGCTCACTCTGGAAAGACAGGATGTCCCAGGAGAAAAGGAATCAGGATGCTCTTTTGAGTACAGTACTTCTAGTTTAGCTCTATGTTTTGTTTTGTTTTACATTATTAAACTAAAACCACAGATTGTTGCCATATGAATGAACCTAAAGGAGCCTTAAAGGGATGTGGTGGCGCTGTGGGCTAAACTGCAGAAGCCTGTGCTGCAGGGTCAGAAAACCAAGCAGTCGTATGCAGGACAGCAACCCTCTGCCATTTGCTCAGGGCTGATAGATATTTCCAGTTCATATCCAACTCTGCATCTTGTACAGATACTCAACAGATATCAGCCCACAGAGAGTTTAAGAAATGTCTGCTCACTCTGGAAAGACAGGATGTCCCAGGAGAAAAGGAATCAGGATGCTCTTTTGAGTACAGTACTTCTAGTTTAGCTCTATGTTTTTTTTACATTATTAAACTAAAACCACAGATTGTTGTCATATGAATGAACCTGAAGGAGCCTTACGCTCTTGCATAACTCTTGCTGGCTCTGTGGCTTGGAAACGGGGATGAGCACCGCCCCCTAGAGTCGAACATGACTGGACAAAAATTGTCAAGGGGAACCTTTACCTTTACCTAAAGGAGCCTTACACTCTTGCATAACTCTTAAAGCTTTCATGCTTGATTGTTTCTTGACCCTGTCAGATCTGACTAACTCCTCATCAGCTACTTTGAGGGACACACAGAATTCAACATTTATCACCTTGTCTTGTTGGCAATCTTGGCTAAATGTCCAGAGTTGTCTGAGAATAGTAGGAGGAATATTAATGGTTTGGGTTGAGATACTCCTCAGTTGGTTGTAGTGTCCTTCCTACATTAACAAATTTGACATAAGGACAAAAATACAAGGCTTTTTGGATGGAAGGAAGTCCATTTAATACTTAGGAGCCTAGTGTTGTAGTTTTATAAATAGAAGTAAATACATCAGAGTGGGTCTTACTCCTTGATAAGCATTGAAGGACTGTAGTCTTAAGTGAAACAATAGCCAAAATCCTGTTGCTTAGTGTAGTAAATCAAACTAAAGTATACCTGTGAGTCAATTCCTCTGTAAGTTTCAGTGATTCAAATGGGTCTACTCTAATTGCAATTTACTTTGATAAGAAACAAGGTGTTGGCCAATGGAAATTAAGCTACTGTGTTGGCTAGAGACCTGTGTTCAGATTCTAGTTCAGCCACCTGAGCTTCCCTTATCTGTACACTGGGAACAGAGCTGGCTTCCTGGTGAGGAGCAAGATGAATAGTTAATAATGTTTGCATGCTTGGCCAACCTGGAGTTTCCTTAGGTTTTTATTTAGTGACTCGGTGAAACAAATGTAATCTTTTTTGTTATTTGCATATTAACATGTATGCTGCATGTTCTTTGCATATATTTTTATTTTTAAAACTTTGTTTTCAAAGATCATGCTATCCATTAAGTAAATCATCGTGAAGAGATTAAATACTAATGTCCAAGAGCAATTGTCCATATAATTCCTCTTTCTTTGGACTTCTCATGAGGACTTAGTTTGAACTCAGCCTCACTGGAGTTTCACATTCAACCTGTTTCTAAGAACATCCAGCAGTAAGATAATGGCATGAGATACCAGTGATATTGATCTGAACTCTGTGTAGTTTGCCTCATTCTCACTATTGAGTGACCACAATTATCCCCACACATCTGGGATGGTAAGAAAATTCTTCCAGACCAGGCATTCATGAAACCAGTAAACACAAGAGGATTTCCCTGTTGTCAACAAAATGCAAAGAAGATAAAATCAACTGTAGAAATAATTACGCATAGCAAGTTAGGCAGTGAAAAAAAAGGAGGGGGGAACAGTTCCCTTAATTTTACATTCTTCTTATTCTTCTAGGAGGCTGTCTAGAAAAAACAATATAGAGGTTTGCTGTAAGAAGAAATATCTGTCAATGTGTCTTAAACAGTGGCAATGGTTTAACCATGTACCCCACCCAATAAATACATATTTAAATTAGGTGCCTTCTGTTTATGGGGCAGTCTTCCTCCTACTGTCTCTAGCAATAACACCAGAAGGCCCTTACAATGGTTAGTTTCCTCCACTGTCATTATATCTAGGAAGAGATGACTTAAACTTGCAATGTTTATTTAAGGAATCAAGTAGGTGGAGTATGTTCCTTCAGTGCTCCCAAATCCTAGCTTCAACTGTGCATCCCATACTGACCTACATCCACCCACATCCCAAAAGAGGAAAGACAATAAGCTGATTTTCTAAAATATGTTCCACCTCAAAACTTGGGTGATGCTACAGAAGATTTGTCTGTCCTATAGGCAAGAAAATCTAGCACTTCAGGGTCTTTTTGACTTTTTTTTAAAAATAACTAGAACTATAAGTATCTCATGACTGGAGCAGTGGTGGTGTATTCAACCTGAAATGTTGGACTGAGGTCACCCCCCCCCCCCCATGCTAAGGCCACATTCTTCACAGAGAAGAACTGAGAATTCCACAGTGTGTGACATAGAAGTGAATGGACAGAAGGAAAGAATGTCTTAAAGCAATGTGTTCTGATTCCAACATGACACTGACAGCTCTTTCGTATATCAATCCACTGCTTGTTTCCCACCAGGCTTTCTGTTTTTCAGCCATTTGAGTTAGAAAGAGTGGAAGAAGGAACCACTCCTTGGGGGAAGTCAGGAAATAACCTAGAAATCTATCAGTAAATTGAGATCTACCTTCTGTTGACCCTTGTGTGCCACAACTCCAGGCTAGGAGTGTGGAAATGCCCCCTTCAGACCCTGGAAATATTATCAAGGATGATTGCCATAATTAATAATAATAATAAGGTCACACAGTCTGGCTGTACTACTGGGAAGTAAAGTGGGAAATTATACTCCCAACGTATGGCTCTGCAGCCAAGTACCCAATACATTGTGCTATCCAGACATCATATGACTGGCATACAGAGGTGCAAATGTGTATTACTGGTGCATGTTCTTTGACTATTTATTTATTTAACTTATATGCCGCCCACTCTACCCAAAGGTCTCTGGGCGGCTTACAACAATTAAAATTCAATTAAAATACAATAAAAGATAAAATGATTAAAATACAATTAAAGTTGCCATCAGGACCCACAGTTGATGTTATTTCAATTAAAAGCCTTCTGGAACAGGAAGGTTTTGACCTGGCGCTGAAATGTCATCAGCGTCGGCACCAAACGAATTTCAGTTGGGAGGGCATTCCATAGTCTAGGGGCAGCTGCTGAAAAGGCCCTTTGTCTACAAGCCATCCCTCTTACCTCCTTGAGGGATGGCTCTTTCAAAAGGGCCCCCTATCAAGAGTACTTTGCTCTACTATAGAACCACCAATTTCCAGGGGTCAAAGGACATTCTCCCTTCAGAACATGGGGGCCACTGCTCAGGGTAGCACTATCACATTGCAAAATCCAGTGTTATATGAAGAAGAAAAAATAACGTTTCTATTTTAAAAACTGCATTTTCCTTCAGAAAAATGTTGCACTTCTCACATGCCTCATTTCAAATACATTCACATTTCTGGCAGGCTTCCAGAAGCACAAAACGTCTTGTAAACAAGGTGCACATATACTGTCTATGACTTGTTTTAAAGGGGAAATTGTGCTTTTTTGCAGCCTTTTTTGTTATTGTGTTACCTAATTTTGATGGCATGTTTGTTGTAAGTGGTGGTGAAACCAGATAGTGCTGGGGGTGGTGTGGTGAAAAAGAGGCTGGGGGCACCTCATCTGGTACCCTGCCTTATTTTTGTGCTCCCAGCATCCTTTGTCCTGTGTTTCCTGTGCTTCAAGAAATTAGTACTTTAAAAAGCAAAAGAGCAGGCTACCCTAATGTTTTGTTATATGATTGAAAACCATAATCTACTAGAAAAAGAATGTGTTCTGACTCCACATTTCTTTTTTCTCTTTCTCTCTCTTTCAGCAGTGCCATGGCTTCTTATTCTGCTTCTTGTACCAATGCCAGCCCTGCTCAGGGCATGAATATGGCCAACAGCATTGCAAATCTGAGACTGAAGGCAAAGGAATACAGTTTACAGAGGAACCAGGTGCCAACAGTAAACTAAAGACAGCAGTGAACAAGATCAACCTCCTCCACAAGAGAAAAACGAGATGCCAAGAGGCAGCTCTCTTGCTTTGCAATGTGTTCAGACCAAATTAGAACTCAAAATGGGAAATAAAAGCAGGATCCAAATTAAAGGGAAATTGCTTCCAAACTGACTCTGCTCTCCTTCACAAAATACTGCCTTTTAAAGTGCCAGCAGATCTGCTTTAGCTGAATATATCATGAGCTTCTTCAGGGAAGGATACAATGCTCTTGTTCCTCCACGGAATGACTGCAGACCAAATGATATCAATTGTGTACTTGAATCTCTTGGTTTTCCTGATGTATGTTTTCCATCTCTGTTGGCCACCTCTTCCTTTTATTAATAGACCTTCTAAAGAAGGATTTCTGAAGTAAAAGATGAACACATTTTACATTGCTTCCATTATTCCAAAGCACAAATGGACTGCATCTGAAGTTGTGACCAGTATATAGCTGGGTGCTTCAGAATCCAAGCTTTTAAGTCTATTGCCCAGAGTCGTACTGCTCTCAGCTGGTGAAGCCAGTTGTAAAATGCGTGTACACTAACTGTTTTTCTGCCCCAGACTCCTTGGTATTGTTACATCAGCAACAGCAGAAGAAGAAACAAACAAACATGAAAATAGTATTTTGAACCAGTTTCTGCGGACATAGAAATACACAAACTATCCAGTCACAGCTAATTATTCCTCATGATGAAAATGTACACTTGATACTCAATAACCTGTGTGTACTTAAAACATCTTGGAAAATCTGAAGCAGAATCCAGATCTGCAGGTACAAGTAGTGCAAATTGATGGCTTTGGAAAAAGTTGGAGACCTAATCCAGCAGACAATGTAGGCACATTTAACTCCATTGATTTCAGTGGGATTAGGTGTATCTAACTCTATGTTGGATGTGGTCCCATTTAACTTTCTTGCTACTCCTTCTGTTTTATGCCACATTTGATGATGTCCAGAATCATTTGATTTATATATACTGTATATATTTATATATATAAGATATACATGCAAGCTTTGTGAGTTTTCTTTTTTTTAATTAAATGAAATAAAATCAACGGAGAGCATCCATGTTGTAAGTGGTATTGCAGAGCTTCTAAACAGACTGTGGTGGTGGTGGATCTATGTGGTGTATTCCATGATAGGTACCCCTTCCTTCAGTAGCATTGTTGGGTACTCCATTAAAAAAACACTTTTCCTCAGGTGACACATCCCAAGAGTTCACTCACCTGAATTCAAAGAAGGGAGAACATCACCCAAGAACAGAGGGTTCACATTCTCCACCCTCACCCAACCAGTTCAGGCAAAAAGCAGAGATGGTCTTTTGAAAAGGAATGGATCTGTTGCACTTCTGTCCCCTCCTTGCAAGGTCAAAACCCAGCAGAAAAGCACATCCTTTTTACACAAGATACCACATGTCTAGTTCTCAGTATTTCCTTAGGAAAGAAGGGCCTTCTACTGTAAGCGCGGGAAAACTAAGACACTGCCTCCTGAGGGCAGCCTGGCTTTACACTGCAGCTGCTGCCACTCTTTTTTCCAAAGGTACAGGTAAAGTTAAGTGAAGGGCTTTGCCCTGTTGCACCTGACCTTTCCCAGTCCTTCTGTCCTTGATGCCAGGAGTTCAGCCCACACTAGATCAAGATTTGAATGGCCCTTTTGCGGTTCTAGGCCCAATAGCTGGTTGACTCACCCTATTCCGCATAGAACTGCTTAACATCTTCACAAGGTGTCATCTTGTTCTTTGGAAAGTCTTTCCTCCACCAGCCCCCAACTCCCCCACATCCACCACATCAAGAGAGGGCCCCCCTTGCTTTACTTCCTGCTACAGGCTTCACCCATCTTTTCCAAGGGGCCTTTTGACATGCAGGTATCTCCAAGTTTTAGCTATCAGGTCCTAGGGCCAGCTGAGTTTCTCCTCCTTATAGCCCTTCATGCATTTCAGTTCTTCCTCTGCGAAACCAGAATGACCACAATATATTCTTTGGAGTCTTTTAGTTCAAGGCTTCTGATAGGAGATACCATGTCATGGGATAGAGAAGGTATTGTAGACAGAGTGAGGCACCATCTTAGCTGGTGTGTGCCTTCACCTGAGGCCTTGGCTATTCACCGGTGAAAGAACTACTGTATGTCTGGCCACCTGAGGCCTTGGCTATTCACCGGTGAAGGAACTATGTCTGGTACCTTCTAAACTAGTCTGTTGTCCTCGGGTGTAGTTAAGGACACTGTACCTTCACCGTTGTTGAAAAAGAAAATGCTGTTACAGTAATTCCGTGTGGATGGATCTAGGACTGCCACACTATCCTTCAACAAAGGTTGCAAAATATTTTTCCCCAAGCTTGATTTTTTAGCAGAGTTCAATAATGGCAAAGCCAAAAGTTTATGGTTATTGTTATCATTGGTTTTTTCTATGTGATTTTATTCCTGCCCAAGAGTTCTGTGATGTTATTGTGCAACAGAGCTAATCCACATTCTACAAGGCAATTCTAAAACTGAGAGCAGGCCAAAGAAAAAATGTAACTTTGAAACTGGACTTTGGATCAACAGCAGATTTGGCACAGGTATAACAACTAGTATGCTCCTGCTCTAGGCCAAATTTGAAGTTTGGGCAAAGGATTTTGAAGTTACAATTTTTAAAAAGTAAAAGTGTTTTCCTTCATAAAGAAACAAGTGACTAAATGTCTCCAAATGTGAAATAAATCAAATAACTTGAAAAGACCAAACTTGCTTGTCTTGAAAGCAAATGGTTGGCTCCACATGCTTTTTAAATTATTACAGTGGTGCCTTGACTAAAGAACTTAATCCGTATTGGAACGGTGGCTGTAAGTCAAAACGTTTTTAAGTCAAAGCAGCATTTCCCATAGGAAAGCATTGAAAAGTGATTAATCCATTCCGGCTGTTTTTTGTCCTTATGTCAAGGCATGGTTCTTAAGTCAAAGCATTAGTTCCCATAGGAACTAATGCAAAGCCTCCTCACTAGGAGGAGAATATTTTTTATTTTTTCTTCTTTTGAGCTAAGATGAACTTAGGTCAAAAAAAGGGCAGGTAAGGGGTTTTTTGTTCATAAGTCAAGACACCTTTCGTAACTCAAAGCAATATTCTGCATCCGGAGCTGTTCGTAACTCAAAACATTCGTATGTCAGGGCGTTCATAAGTCAAGGCACCACTGTATTTGGAAAGAATCCAGGTTACAGGGGCTGGAATAAAAGACCTCTCAAAAGGGTAGCACAGTGACTTTCTTATAAACAGCACGAGCAAGAGAGGTCCAAAGTTGTCATATTGTTGCATCTTTGTGGCCAGGAAAGCAGATGTTTATAGAGCAATGAAAGGTAACAGAAAGTCAAAATGTCTTGTGGCATGCAGTACTTTATGTAAAAAAAACAAAACCCCACAACTACTTTGTACCTAGCTCACTTTTTGAGCTACCTGTACATTCACCCTTCATTCCACTTGCCTCTGCTGTCAAATAAAGAAAGACGGAGAGAGCATAACTTCTACCAAATGTCCACAAAAAAGCTTACAAATATTTTCCCCTCCATCTTGTCTTCTTACACTTAAGAGCCAAGAGGCAAAGAACAAAAACAAAACAATAACATCTATGTTAATTGACTCTGAGTACAAACCCTCAGAGTGTCTTCTGGGATGAGCATACCATATGCACACCATATAACAAAACTAATCATTATTGTTCAAATAAGAATAGTCTCTTATTAATCAAACTTACATCCATTGCCTCTAAAAACAGGCATCTTCTAGTTTCTACTAGAAGTTAATATCAAACTGCTAATTCTAGAACAAGGTGGACACAATTCTGGTGGGGAACAGGTGACCAAAATTTTGCCCCAGCATCCCACACAGGATGGCCTAGGCCTGAAAATGGACCAAACGTGCCAAACTTTTATAAAAAGCAAAACAGAAAATGGCTTCTAGTTTTGCTGGTTTTGTTGGGGGTGTAGTATGTTGTGACCCTCCAAGATGCTTCCCACAGCAGAAAACCCACTTTGCCTGCAATTTATTTTCTGGCTGATTGGCATGGGGGTGGGGAGGTCTGTAGAAGGTTTGGAGGTGGCGTACAGCGGGAATACATTGCTCACAGACTGACTCACATCAAACGGTACATGCTGCAGGCACACTGTTTGTTCTGTTTGCTTTGGTGCCTCTGGGTCTGGATGAAACAAGGAGAAGCAGATGCTTGGGGGGGGGAAAGAGAAAAATGGGGCTGGAAAGCATGCCAAATGCCAAGCTTTGGCAGCTACTAGAAACTTTGGGGTGAGTGCAATGTAATCAAGCACAAGTCTCTGGCCTGAATAACTCTCTCCACCTCCTGGCTGATTTGGGGCCAACAAGAAAGCACAGAATGCTTATATAACACTGGAGATCAAGAAATACCATGTGGCCAGAGCATTGTTTCAACATGTTCTGAGGATGCTGAAATGGGGCAAGTTGTATATCTTGGCTGTAAACTTCAGCCCATTCTTTGTCGAAGCAGCGCTCTCTGGAGTAGAACAAGGGAATGCTAAGCTGTAACGAAAGGAATCTTTAGCCCCCATGTCAGCTTTTACTGGAAGAAAACAACAAGAGATTTCACTTTAATTTGCACAGCAGCACTCGGAGAAAGATCCATAGGGTAAGAACCTGTTATTTTTCAGCAGAAATTTTTCTGTGTCTAAATTGATGGCAATATACAAATAGTTAATGGATTTTATTTTAGGGTTGCTGCAGTCTGCGTCTGAAAAGCACATATTATTTTTTAATTCAATGTGATAATTCGGTGACTGTAATCCTATTGTGCAACTTACCTTACATGAGGCTGATGATGTCATCAGCCACTGCAATTTTTGCAAATTATAAATTCTGACCACCACCCTGACAAAGGTTCAAGGGCTCATGTCAGGAAGCCAGCATTGGCAGTGGATTTGGGGGGGAAGGGAGTCTTTTCTTTCCACAGATCACTGCCAGTATGGTTTTACTGGCAGTGGGAATGCTCAGCAGTTAAAGACTTATTTCCTTCACATTGTGTACAATCAGAATTCCTGAGGGTAATATTAGGAGTCCTCAGGGATGTCGCCAACATAAAACTAAGATTGGAAACTGGTCAAATTAAAATCAAAGCCAGGATATGGATTGCAATTCTCATGTACTGGCTCAGACTGTCTTATCTCCCTATTGGTCTTTAAGTCAAAATGGGTTCAGTTAGTTGAACAAAAAATAGCCTCTTTGGGTCTCTCTAGGCTGATTCTGTTAACCATGTGAATGGAACGGGCAAAGAAAATAATCAAGGAGCGTATTGAGGACATTGAGAGACAAAATGATTTAAGCAGTGCCCCAGAATTCTATCTTAGGGAGGACAGCTTATACAAGCTCACAGCAACACCTTATTTTGCCCAGTTGGAGTAACCCAGGTATAGAAGGGTGTTTACTCTGGCCTGTCTTAACGCACTACTTTCAGCAGTGCAGGAGGGCAGAGCGCCTTTGCCCATGTGGAATGGAGCTGATAGAAGCAATTGAATATGTCCAGTTGTGGTGTACATATTATAAGGACGGTTGTGGCACAGTGGTTAAATCCACTACTTTCAGCAGTGCAGGAGGGCAGAGCGCCTTTGCCCGTGTGGAATGGAGCTGATAGAAGCAACTGAATATGTCCAGTTGTGGTGTACATATTATAAGGATGGTCGTGAAGAACCTGTTTCCCCTTGACTGGCCAATTTCCTAGCTGTACAGAGCAACAGTGTATACATGTGCTGCTGCCTGAGTCCAATCCTAAGTTTACACATAGTGTTGCCAAATTATTTACTGCTGCCATGGGCATTAGAAAAAGGATCCTAAAAGTGGATGGGTCTCCATAGTCAGAGCATGGTTTGCTAGACATTTTGGAATTGCACTGCCTTGTGGCCAGTGGTTAAACCACTGTACTGCAGCTAAAACTATGCCCGCGGTTCAATCAGCCTTCTATCCTTCTGAGGTTGGTAAAATGAGTACCCAGCTTGCTGAGGGGGGGGGCGATGTGTAGCCT